CAAATGTCCTAGGAATCAGTGAAGGCTCTGTGCGATTTACATTTGACTCACTAAACTTTTGGAATGTTGTACTGCAGTTAAGATGTTTTCATTTGACCTCATGTTTTGAATTGTTTGAAAAAAAATTGATTATGCCTTAAATTTTAAGGCTAGCATTTAGGTGTAATCTGACCAATCTGTATTTAAACTTACCCTTAAAAACCAAACATAGTTTTTAAAATTAAAAAAGTTAATTTTTATTTTGCACATAGTTTGATTAATATGGGTAGGTAGTATGCAAATAAATTTAGTAGGATAAGAAAATTGTTTAGGCCAGGCATCGTGGTGCATGCCTCTAAGCCCAGCACCTGGAAGGCTGACACAGGAGCATAGCTGTGAGTTCAAGGCCAGCCTGAACTGTGTAGGGAAACCTTACCTCAAAAAGATGGAAAAAAATTGTTACGTGTTTAGGGACATGTAGTAGAGGAGAAAATTTTACTTAGGTTGTTTTCTTCATCACTTTTCCTTAACAGTTGTAGTTTTAATATAGCAATACAGTTTTTACCTTTATTTTGTCGTTAGCAGCTTATTTTTGTTTAAAGAAAAGAGGCCATATATGTATTTTTCGATTTATTTGACTTGCTTCTCTACCTGTTCTGTGAACACCCTACCAGCAGCACAGGTAGGCAGGAAGCAGTGTTTTATACAAGAAAGCTCTGAGCACAGGGCTGTGTAACGAACTGGACAGTTCTTTGGTCATATAGGGTTTGTTTGTTTGTTTGTTTGTTTGTTTCCAACTGAAAGCCTTTCTTCCAGATGGTCATCATGAGACAGTGGTTTTTATTGGGTAAGATTTACTTTATGATTCATTTGAAACATTATAAAGGAAACATTCCAGCACTGAGGGAATTTATAATAATTATAGTAATCTTTTTTCTGTTGTTTGCTGTTTGTGTGTTTTTAAGGAGTTTAGTTTTGATTTAAAATGATGTTTTAGATCTGATCATTTTGTAAGAACTCTTGGCCACCTTTCAAAAAGAAATAGTGCTTAGGAGTTAAAATTGAACTAGATTAATAATTTTCTTTTTTTCCTGTAGCTAATTTTTGCATATCATTGATAGCTAATGAAATATGTACCCCCTCACACACATCACTAGAGAATATAGATGAATACCTACTTTATTCTTGGTCACAATGAATTAAATTAGCTGGAAAACCATACATGGAATCTTCACTATTTTGCTATCTAGATAACTGTTTTCCTTTTAAGAGAAAGTAGTATTCATTTAACAAGAATGTTCAGTAACATGTATTGATTGTATTATTTTTGATTTGCTAATTTTCCCTCTTAGGTATTTTAGAGATTGAAGTGAGTCTTATGTTATTATTTTGAGAGAGGAAAGATTTAACATTGCCTTTCAAACAAAAAGATATTATATAAATTGAAACTGTTACTGTTTTGTTTGGGAAACACTATAATCATTCATTTCACAAATAATGAAAGAATAGTGCTTTCATTACCTGATGAACTAGACAGACAAAATTTCTATTCTCGTGGGTCTTAAATTTAGTAAAAGAAGTACGACATAAAAGTCAGATTTTTTTCCCAGTGGCAACACAGTCTTTGAAATGAATAAAGGACTTAAAGGATAGCATGGCTGAGCTCACTTTAATAGAATTATGAAGTGAGCCATCTTGAGGAGATGTGATTTCTGCTGACCGAGAACTGAAGGAACAGATGTAGCCAACTCTGTGAAGCTCTGGCTAGAGGGTGGAGCAAGTACAAGTCTTGACATCTTGGAAGCACAAAAGAAGGCGAGTTCGCCTGCAAAACATGCCATGAGATAAGACTGCAGAAGGAAGCAGAGGTGCTGGATTTTCTCTTCAGGTTTTCTAACTTAAGGAATTAGATGGTTTTAGAATTTTGAAGTAAATTAAACAGGAAGCCAGTGCTCTCTGATATCTGTTTCAAGTTAACTTTTGTTGCATGAAGAACTGGCAGTGGGAAAGTAAGTGAAAAAGCAGAATACAAGGAGACTACTGCAGAAATCCAAGTAGAACAGCTTGTGGCTTGGACGGGGCAGAGGGTAAAATATGGTCAGATGTGGACTATAGTTTGGAGATTAAACCATCAGGTTTTGTAGATGATTTGGATGTGGGACATGAGGAAAAAAGGACTCCACGATGATCGTAGATTTGTGACATAATTAGTTTAGTAGATGAAGATGCCACTTAAGATCAGAAAGGTAGAAGAGAGAAAAAATAGAAAGGAGACAGATTGTGATTTCAGTTTTGAACATGTAAATGTGAAATTATTTGTCAGGTGGGAAAGTAATATCTGAGTCAGACTTAGATGAGATCACCCTAGAGTGTAAGTAAAGGAAAGAGGACCAGCACGTGTGCCCTGGTATTCTGACACAGACATCAGGGAGAGGAGGCAGGTTCATTGAAATGACGGTGAGAAGACACAGTCAGCAGAGGAGAAAGAAAACAGAAAAGCCTATGGCTGTGGACACTGAGTAAGAGGAGAGAGGATGTCTTAGGACAAAGGGACCCATTAGCTGTGTCAAACACTGCTGTGAGATCAGGTTGGCATAGGATAGAAAGTTGGCTGTGGATGTAGGAAGATGAACATCATTGGTAATCTTGCCAAAAGCTATTTCAGTGGGATGGTGGGTATGAAAACTCAGCTAGTTTGAATGCCAAAAAAAATGATTGGAAAAGAAGTGCCGGTAGCATTCTAGAGTATAGATTATTCTTTCAAACTTTTGCAATTATAAAATCAAAGTAGTTGGGTTGTAGATACAGTGAGACAGAGTCAGACAGCAGCTTCATTAAAGCCCCCTTTGCGGATAGGAATGGTCCTGGAGAGAGGACTCAGTGGCAGGAGCTTTGTCTTTGATATGGAGAGAGAGTGTGAGAAAGAAGGCATGTAAAAGGTTTAGGTTTCAAAAGGACCAAAACTCCTTCAGTTTTACCAGAGTTGGTAGGACAGAGGGTGTGTGTGGACTTTAAAGATGAATGTAGGTCTTGTCAGATTGTTGTTCTCGACAGCTGAATATTGGAAGGGAGGGTTCATTGGAAAGCTATATAATGAAACCGGTGCCACCTTTTCCACCCAGGCCCATGTACCGTTGCCATGGTGTCCCTGCTGCTTTTCTGACCCTTCTTTCCCAGAAAATGTACAGACGTTATTTCTTCTGGAGATAACATAGACAGTGTAAAGAAAAGTAGTAGCCCATTTTGGACATTTGAAGTGGTGATAAGCCCTCCTCATTGTGGCTTTTAAGGAGTTCCCTATGTAATGATTCATTGTTTAATCCTAGAGCAAAATGTGCTGAGCCCTGCCAGCACACGGCTTCAGTCCACCCTTTTTCTTTCTTTCTTGTTTGTTTTGTTTTTGAGACAGAGTTTTGATGTGTAGTTCAGTCTGGCCTTAAATTCACTATGTGGCCCAGGCTGGCATCAAATTCATGGCAATCCTCCTGTTTCAACCATCCAAGTGCTGGGATTATAGATATGTGCCGTCATGCCTGGCCTCCTTTTTCTTCCTTTTTTTTTCTTTTAAATTTTATTTTGAAGGTAGTAAAAAATACAACAGAATAAGACAGAACAAAGCCAATCGAGACAATGCAGTGAAATTGGTACAGAACTTCACAGCAGGATACTAGGATAACAGTAATGGGTACCATAGTGAATTTCGTTATCTTCACAATGGTTGCCCATTGAGTTAGGTATAGGGAGATCAAACCAAAAACAGAACATTATAAAGCCAATTGAAAGAGAATATTGAATAGAGCAAAACAATTAATCACAACAAAACAAAACAGTGAAAACAACATTTGTCTTCAAACAGAAGATAGAAGGAAATCCCCTATATTTGCTATATTGCATATGATCATCCTCCCAAGATCCTTTTTCTTTCTTAAGATCAATATTCAACCAAAATTTATTTTTAAGGAAAATTAGCATATAAATAAAAAGGCTAAGATAAATAGAAAAAATTGACACCATATGAAACATAAGTAATTCTTGGATCAGAAGAAATCTTAAACAGAAAATGTACATTTAATATTCTCAGAGAAGTGCAAATATGTTGCCCCAGTAAGGTAAGAACAGAATAATCATTTTAAAAATCAGAAAAGAAAGAGTTTGTGGAAATTAAGATGTTGACACAACTTTTAAAAATTGATTGTTTAGAGGATAAATCAAATAAAATTCTGAAAATAGAACAAAAAGACAGGAAATGTTATTTAGCAGAAGTTTCAGGAAGAGAATGGAATTCAATTATTAGAAACGTAATATAAGAAAAGTTCTAGTGCTTAAAGATCCGTTTTCAGATTAAAATGAGAGAAGCCCCAAGACAGTGATAAAATACACACACACACACACACACACACACACACACACACACACACACATACTCATACTATTGTGAAATCTTAGTATAAAGGAAGTTCTTGTAACAAAAGAATCTTGTAAAGGAATGAGAATTATGTGACCATAATTAGAATAAGAATACTTCAAAGGCAGACGATTTTTGTTGTTCATTACTGTTACATAGTGAGGGCTCAAAGAATCTTTTTAATATAAAAAACTACAACAAATGTCTTACAAGCAACATGGAGGGTTTAAAAGATCATGGGACAGTATACTCAAAAGTTCTGAGAGAAAAGGACTTGGGGTAGAACTTACAGCCTATGAAAATGAAAGTTAATGTAATCCTCTCAAATATCTCATATGAGTTCTTAGCATAAAGGTTTTTTTTCTTTTTTCATTAAAGAAAATGATTTCTTTTGGACATGTCCAAATTTCTTCATCTTTATTTATGTATTACTGAGCCATGCAATGTGAAAATACAGGTTACTTAACCTTAAGCAGTGCGGTACTGCTACAGTTGATCTGTTAACCAAGACAGCTGTTAAGTGACTTACGGGCAAGTAGTATATGTATACAGTGTGAGTTTACTGGAAAAAGGGGTGGCTCACATCCCTGGTGGAACACAGTAGAATGTCGTGTGATTTAGAACTTATCAATTGTTTATTTTTGGAATCTTTCATTTAGTATTTTCAGGTCTAGTTGACCGTAGATAACTGAAACCATGCAAAACAAACATTATAGACAAAGGGGAATTACTGTGACCCTAAAGGTACATGCCACTAAAATGCTTCTCTTACAGAGGAGGACCTGGTGGTGGATAGCACGGTAGGTAATTTTGTTTGTAGATACATTTGGGAGGAGGAGAGACAGTGCTGTTTGGCTTCTTTCCCTTCGCCATCATCAGTAGATTGACATCTCTGACTAGACGCCATGGGTCCCAGGAAGTTACTTCTCTCATGCAGATGTAACCAGAAGGAATCTTCATCTTTACCGTGTAACCACCTTTTAACTTAATTGTGTGATAGTTATCAAGTTGTCCCATTTAATCCTCACAATAATTCCCTAAGGTAGTTGATAGTTCCCTAGGATATTGACAGTTCTGTTTACAGATATAAAAACAGTGAGATAGAGATTCAGATTGCAAGGTTGAGTAAACTTCAGATTTCCACAGTTAATGTGTGGTGGAGCAAGACTTACTTGCTCTTTCTATTGTCCTTTAGTCTCTACATTTTTTCATTTGTAAGTATTATCTTTTGTGATTATAGTGGAAGATTCAGGCTGATTTATATTTACTTTTAAAATATTAGTATAGTAGTTAAAATATTCCACTGGCCATTAAAATTGCTGACTTCAGATCCATTAGCAAATTTTAATAGTCAGATTGCTAGACATTACTACGTCAGAAGTCAAGATCAGAGTTCTGAGTTTCAGCTGGTGATGTAGCTCAGTAGTAGAAGTGTACAGCATGTGCAAGTTTGGGGGGTTTTTTTGTTTTGTTTTGTTTTGTTTGCCATTATAGTTTTTTTCTTTGGCAGGGGAGATCAAACCCAGTGCTTTGTTGTATCCCCAGCCAAATGTTTGTGTGTGTGTGTGTGTGTGTGTGTGTGTGTATTTAAATTTTTTGAGAATCTTAACTAATACATTAAGTTGCTCAGGCTGGGTTTGAATTTATGAGCTTCCTGCTTTAGCCTCCCAGAGTGTGGGACTGCAGGTGTATGCCGTCATGTGCAGCTAAGAAATGTCTTTTTTACTCAGAAAAATATCAAATCAATATGAGACATATCAGAGTAATGAAGCCTTTAGTCATTACCCAGTTTACAATGTTGTCAACTCATAGCCTTTCTTCTTTCATCTGTCCTTCCTTCTACCTGAGTTATCTTGGTTTACTTAGAAAAAAACAAAGTTCAGGCATTGTTTAATTTTATCTGTATATGAGTAAATATGCTTAATGGACAAACACTTTTAACAGAAAATAAACCACATATTATTGCCTTGCCAAAAGCAGTGGTAATTCCTTAATATAAAGTATCCAGTCACTGCTTAAATTTTCTTGACTATCTCGATTTTTAATGTAATTTGTTTGAATCAGAATCAAATAAGGTTCATAGGCTGCAATTTTTTTTTGTTAAGACTTCTTAATATTATAGGCATCCTGTTTCTCTTTTGTTCTACTTAGGATTTATTTTTTAAAGCAGTGTTTTTCTTATAGCATTTGCCTTGCCTCAGTCTGCATTTTGCTGATAACTTTCTTATATTGTATCTCTGCCCTTCATATATTCTTTAAATTGACGTTTATATTTAGAGGCTTGATCAGATTTAGATTTATTTTTGGGGAGGAGGGCATATTACTTCAGAGATATTGTGTCCTATCAGGAGGCACAATAATACCTGGTTCTTTTTTGTGGTGTTACAGCCATTAGTGATCATTATGTAGCTTCATGATTTCATTAATGTTTTCAATATTCAAATTCTTTCATTTTAATATTTCATTTATCACCTAAAGTAATTTTATAAAGAAATATATACTTTCATCTCAATTTTGTTGATAGAGCTTATAGCAGTATGGTTAATACTGCTATAGGTATTACATACCTAATCAGGTAATACATACCTGATGTTTCCTCTTTATGTTCAGTTTCAAATTATTGAGTTGGTTCCCTAGCATCTACAAAGAGCACTAGTTGCTTTAAAAAAAAGACAAAAAACAAAAAACGTGCATTTGTAGATTTAAATATGTTGGATACATGTTATCTTTTGCTGATGTAGATGGGATTGTCTGTCCTTGACTAGCAGGATCTCCTTCACTTGGCACCTGAACCCTTTGACACTCCATCAGTGCATCTGATAGCTTTCTTGCTGATACCATGATAGTGTTAAAATGTACCTGAGGTTTAATATTTATATGAGTCTGTCATTTACATTGCCTTTTTGAGGTCTTATCAGGTATTTAAGTTTTCATTTCATGTTTTTCTTGTGGGATGGTGTGACATACTTGTTCAGGATGATCATCAGTATTCTCTCATGTCTGCAAATGTCTTTATTTGCAGACATTTGCAAATGTTTTCCTTTCATTTTTAGAATTCTTTAGTTTTACATTTTTGTAGTCAATCCGAGGTATTTTTTTCCTTTGTTCTTACCAGAACATTATTCCCTATCACCACCATTACTTTTACCTTTTCCCACCATAAAAAAATCTAGCAACTTGATTGTTATTATCCTGTTAAAATTTGGCATTTGCGTGTATTGTAACTCTTACGATTCAAGATTAGTTAACATTCAGAAGTAGTTATATGTCAGGTACTTCCCATGTTATCCTCTTAAGAGGTCATGATAGAAACTGTCTTTTCTCCTAAATTGTATTAATTTATGTATAAAAATATAGATAAATTATAGCCTATTCTTAAAAATTTAAGTTGTTCATTATTTAGCTTTTGGTATTTTTAATTATAGCTCATTGTAGAATTTTGTTTCATGATTATATGATAAGTCCTCCCTCCTGCTTTCCTTAATTATAGAAAATAAAGTGGATCTTCCATTGGTTGATATGAATTGTGGACTACAGATCTTTTGTGGAGAAATAAATTGTGCAGAAATAAATATTATCACCAATATATGAAGACTAGGAAAATGCTCTTCAGTATTGTCATGAATGTGTGAAATTATGTGAATAGAGATAATTTTTCAAAATAATGGGGGAAAGAGCAAGAAGTTCAGATAGCGATCAAGAAAGTAAAACAGGCAAACGTCATTCCTGTTACTATTCATCTGATTTTGGAACGACACCACAGTCTTCTGGCCAGTCGTCGCCAGTCGATCCTTCACCTGTAAATATTAGGGAGAAAAATCCTAAAATACAAGTATCAGATAATCAAGTGCATCACCAAGGTGAGTATTCTTTTGAGAGTCCAGTGGAGTAGACTTACATTTTGGGTAGGCTGTATTTTTATAAATTTATGTAAGTATTGTTTATAGGTATAACACCGTTTTTATATTCAAAGTCATACAGTTTACAGAAGAAGGTAACATAAGGTTGCTCATTCATCTCCTTCCCAAATAAATGTCTTGGCATGTCTGAGGTACTTACTGTAAAGGTAAAACCAAAACAAAACCTATAAAACAATTCTATTTGTTTTTTTAAAAGCCTTGAAAGACATAAAGTGGTTAAGGGGATTTTTGTGGATTAAGTAAAATTTCTACCCAACACCGTGCTTATTGTTAACATACAAATAAATTATTACAATAACAAAAAACATTTCTTTGAAGCCTTTCTCCACAACCCTATACTATGGATTCCATAATGTTGTAATAGACTTACGTTATGAAGCCTCAAAGCATCAGAACTAAATTAGTATGATATTTTTCAACTTGGAAAAACTGCCTAATAGAATGCTGTTGTAGGATGAATTTTAATTCATCTGTAAAGCTAAAGGAAAAATGTGCAATACTTGATACAAGCCTCAAAAGGTGAACTGTGAATCTTCATTTCTAACATTAACATAACTTTCTGTATTGGATCAATGTGATACTGAAAATGGTAACCTACTTAATTTAAATGTTAAAATTTTAAATTATGAGGTTTACATTAAAACCAACATTTCACAATGCACTTTTTTAATGCATAAAAAAGGTTTATATTCTAGATAATGTAATGCTTTCTTAGCATCCATAATGCAAGTAATAATTCAGAAATAAGAATGTTACTGCTATATGGGAATTATATTTAAATTTAAAGACATTTTTCATTAAGCCAAATACAGACCTAGTAGGTTTGACATATTCCTTCAGCTGTCTTTATATTTCTTCTGAAAAAATACAGATCATGTTTGTATCAATGATAATAAATTTTATATAGACCCTTAGTCTAATTGCATTTAAAAATATGTTCTATTATTATTACATAGTAACACAAAATTAATTATCACTCTGAAAACTTGCTTTACCCTAAGTTCTGGCTAGATAAAGCACTTCAGAAGATTTTACCATGGATTATTTCTATAAAACTGCCATTGCTTCTAGTGTTTTTAAAAATTTTTTCTGTACTGTGTCTTAAGAAAAGTAGTCCCTCCATAATTATGAGATTGCTGAGGTAGTGTTTGGAATTCTCCATGTGAGCCAGTGAATATATAGGGGTGTGTGTGTGTGTGTGTGTGTGTATACATATATATACATAATATATGGAGTTGTAAACAGTAACCCAGTGAGGCCTGAAGCCTGAGTCTACCTGAAAAGGATGTAACCAATTTCAATATCATGTTACAGATAAATAAGCATTGAAAAATAAACCAAAGAATCATGGCATAGTCTACCTTTAAGTTTTTGTAAACCATATTTTGTGAATAACTTAAGTTTTACTGGAAGGCTGATATATTTCAATATTTTAAACTTCCATTATGTTTGGTACAAAAGATATACCTTTTAATAAAATTTTTAAAATGCAAAAAAAAGTTAAATCTAGGAATGAAATTTGGGACTTGGGATTACCAGTCTAATTTGTTTTCTATTAAGCCATATTATAATGCAGAGTTCGTTATTAAATGTTACTATTCTGGAGCATATTTGGCTATATAATACTCTAAGTCTCTTGTCATTTTAATAAATCTCCATTCCAGAAAGCCCTATCATGCTGAGAAATACAGCATGAAAGTTTATAAAAACAGTGTGGGAAGAGGAGGGAAGGCAAACGGATGATTTTAGTGTCCTTTCATAAAGGCTGTGCGGTTGTCAGGGCAGTGGCTGTGACCGGTAAGAATAGACTACAGGGCTGTGAGTGGTAAAGTCAGGGCCGAAAGGAAATGGACTAAACACTTCTCATCCTGTGCTAATATAGTGTATTGACTGTTTCCCTGAGGGATGATCATTTAAGCAGAGGTACAGTATAATTAAATTTGCCTTTATAAAGATTTACTTTAAAAAGTAATATTTGCATATTAAAAACTGCAAAGAATATATGTAATAAATGTGCAAAATCTATGCAAATTTTAAAGTAAAAATTTATAAAGGGAAATTTGTATATATCTATATAACAATTGAGTCTTTCTTTTCTTCTCATTTTCCAGGAATGATTTCTCTCTCCCTTCTCTCTTTCTCTCTCCCTTCCCATTCCCCCTCTCCCTCTGTCTCTCCTTCTCTTTTGCCCTCCCTCTCCTCCTCCTCTTCTCTGTCTTGGACCTTCCCCCCCAGATATCACTGAATGTGTCTTTCTACAGTTTTTTAGTTGACAGCATGATTTTAAGCTTTTTAAGACCGAGCCTTTGAATATGTCTATTGTTTATGCAAAAGTAATGTGTGTACCTAGTATTTTACTGGTAAAGGAATACTTTTAAGTTTTTTCTACCTTCCCCCAAAGTAGTAAGTGGCCACTTTGTTAAGGAATCAGAACCATGTAAGCCTTACTTCATTGGTGAATACAATTGAGAGAGGACTTTGGAAAAGATTCAGCATTGACCACAAAATTAATTTACTGTCTTTTCTCTGACTTACACTGTTTTTTGCTGTGCACTTCTTTTGAGTGAATTAAAATCTATGGTAATTTGTCTGTTTTGACCAAACAATAGGACTGAATTGATATCTTTCTTTGAACACTAATTTCTCTCAGTTAAAATCCCATCACCAGTGTAAACTGGAAAAAATAAATGTGAGTAAAAGCAGCATTTTGGACTCTTGATTCTGAGGATTTGTATTTTTAAGAGCAAATCTGGCTTCTCTCTTCATATTTTCAGTATATTTTATTTTTCAAATAAAATTGATGCTCTAACAAAATTTCTGCGTATAATAGCAAAATATAATGAGGACTTTTGGTTACATTTTTATATATTATATATTTATTCATTTGTTTTTTAAATCAGCAATATGAGCTTTTCTTGATTCTTTTTGTTAGATGCATACTTGATTTTTAGTACATTAAAAATAAATCATTTTATTTTTAACACTTGAAGTAAAATAAAATGTTTTCACCCAATTATTGATGGTGACTTAAGGGGGAGATTAAGAATAAGACAGGGAACTATCTTTCATCTATTAACACAACTTTTTTTTTGATAGTTTCAAAAATAAAAATGAAAAGTTATGAAAATTTTTTTGATTTTAGGTTAATGATCAGTTTGTAGTCATAATAATAAAACTTGCTAAAAATAAGCATTCAGATTTTTAGAGTGTTAAAATGTTGGTTGTAGAAACCCTTTGTATCTAACTAAATAGTTGAATAAAGTATCAGTGAAGAACTTTTACCCTGATTATTAGGATTTTTAATTAAGCTGTAGTTCTACAAATGAAATAAATTACTATTTCTATGAAATCTTATTTTCTGAGCAATGTAATTTTATACATAAAAATCAGACATTTATTAGCATGCATGAGGCTCGGGTTCAATCCCCAGCATAAAAAAATCAGAGATTTAATTAATTGCTACCCATCTTCATATATAATCATTTTATATATGAATATAGTTTCAGTCAAAAATATGTCCATATGATTTAATGTTTTCTAATTATATTTAAATAAAGAAAAAAGTGAAATTGTTTTAATTTGTTCAGCCTAACCTATCCAATACTTTATCATTTCTGCATTTAGGCAGTAAAATCATTGTGAACTTCTTTGCATTTTTAAAATCAACTACTCAAAATGTAGCATGTTTCACAGTTACAGCATTATCTCAATTTGGAATATCCACATTTCAAGGCTTGCAGCCGTATGTGGCTAATGGCTACCATAATGGATTACATACTTCATAGTCTCAATTAGGCATTCCCTCATTTCTTTTGATCACACTTCAAGTATTCAAGCATTTATGGAACTGGAAATGCAAATCACTGGATGGTCAAAACAGTATCTATAAATTTTTTTATCTTTTTAATGAAGCTTTGTAATGTTACATTGTAAAAATGGTTATTTTCTTGTAAATTTTTACATAGCAAGCCAGGCAATCAAAATAGGGAGGGAAGGTTGCATCTTACTTTCTTCTTTTTCTTTTTTTCTTCCTCTGCAACTCTTCCTTGATAAAATGCAATGACCTTGGAGATTTAAGTTCTTTATACTTAACTGTGACAGACTTTCAGGTGCCTCTTTTTAACGCTGATGCTCTACATGTTGTGGCTTAACTTTAATGAACTTTTAGTAAAACTAAAAATGTTGCAAATATTTGAGGACTATTGCGATTTGAATGTACACTTTAAATGTTTCATATATTTTTAGGATGTGATTTTTTTTTTCTTTTTCTTACATTATATCAGATACTGATTTGAACAAAACACAAAAAAATTCTCTGTAAAAGCATTAGAAACACACCTGTACTGCTGTGTTCCATTTTCAGTTAGCTTTCACAAAACCTACTTACATATGCAGTGTTATCCTCATTCTGTGAATCAGGAGAATAAAATGGGAAAACCATTATTAATTGAATTGTCTAATGAGTTGCTAAGTGAGAAATCTGAGTCCAAAATCTTTTTACTATATAATATGCTGTCATCCTGTTTCCCAAATAAAGAAAAAACTGAAGTAAATTTAGGAGAAACATATTGTTTAAATTTCAAATACTGATCCCAGCTATTTAGGCACAAATGACTTGACTACTGTCACAGTGCTTTTCCAGTGTTTATTATGCAGCTTGCTGATGTTGCTCATGTTTGAATTCTGATTTGTCACCTTATTTATAAAGTGGCTAAAATCTGATACTGCTATCTTTTAAAGCACTGTAGAATGATTTCATATTAACTACAGGATATCACTTTTGATGGATCATAATATTCTCAACCTTTCTTAGAAAATCCCAAAAGCTTCTCAGTAGAAACATACTAAAAATTTTAATGAAACTATGGGTAATGAAATATTATTAAATCTCTTTTTTTAAAGAACAAAATTAAACCATGTTATAGACCCACTTGTGTTTGGATAAATAAAAATTACACCTTATGATTTTCATTGTATCATATTGCTGTTTCTTTTTTAGCTCCTAGGAAGCCAAGCCCTAAGGGTACACCAAACAAAAAGGGAGTTCGAGTGGGATTTCGTTCTCAAAGTCTCAACAGAGAGCCACTTTGGAAAGATCCTGATCTTGTGACAAAACGGGTTCTTTCTGCAAGACTGCTAAAAATCAATGCACTACAGAATGAAGTATCTGAACTCCAGGTCAAGTTAGCTGACCTGCTGAAAGAAAATAAGGCTTTGAAAAGGGTTCAGTACCGACAGGAGAAAGTCCTGAATAAGTTTGGAGATGCGGAAAATGAAATCTCACAACTTATAGTTCGTCATAATAATGAGATTACAGCTCTCAAAGAACGCTTGAGAAAGTCTCAAGAAAAAGAACGAGCAACTGAGAAAAGAGTGAAAGATACAGAAAGTGAACTATTTAGGACGAAATTTTCCTTACAGAAATTGAAAAAGATCTCTGAAGCTAGACACCTACCTGAAAGAGATGATTTGGCAAAGAAATTAGTTTCGGCAGAGTCAAAGTTAGATGACACTGAAAGAAGAATCAAGGTAAAATTTTGGTGCCTTCTAATTGTGCTGTCGTGGGTAGTTTCTACTGGGTGTTTGTTGTGCTCTTATTAAACAGCTCTTGTCATTTGGCCTTTACTTAGAAATGAAAAATACCATTAGTATTAACTTTCTGAATATGAAATTAGGGAAAATTTAAGATTATAAGTTTAAGAGCAGGTTGCTAAAGATCATATATATTAATGAGCCATGTGTTGATAAGAGGAATGCTTAATTGTATAGATCTTAGTTATTTAGGGAGAATGTATTTGGTTATTTTGATTGTTTCTCTGACATTGAAAATGATACTGTGGTAGTCATAGTATATAACACTGACCTTTTGGGGCCACTGTATGAGAAATCCCATGTAAATAAGCCCCCCTTTTTCATTGGCACACTTGTGGCAAGCTAGTTAGAATACACCTGGGGAAGGATGTGATCTTACTTTGCAAAGTAAAAACTGATAAAAAGTGGGTAGGAGAACATTGAATAACCAGTCTAGGAATACAGAATAGCTTTTTAAAATATTTTTTTCCTGTGGAGAGCAGAAGGAACAATCCTACTTCATTTCTTTTACACAGGAAAAATATATTAGATACTACTTGCTGTCTAACGAACAAAAGACCTGAGTCAGATTGTGTTGCTTAGAACTGATAAGTAGTTTGGAAAGCAAAGGTTGGGGGAAGGGATGGAAATAATGCTTGTTGTGAGAGCTTTCTGAACACAGTTGAAACCTATAAATAAATTGAGTTTATGCACAATATTAGATGTTTTTAACATATAACAGATTATGCTACTTACTTTGTATATATGCCATACCAAATATACCAGTGCCATACATACAAATCATGGCCCTGTTCTAAGGCTGTTGCTTATTAACTATGTTGAAGTACTTTAATAACCAGGAGAAGAGTCTACTTTATTCTCCAAATTTTGCAATTGTTGTTTTGTATTTCATTTCATAGAAGATAATGCTAGTATATAGGTTCTGCCATCAGTGACCTCAAAGTAAAAAGCATAAGGGTCACTTAACCCGTGAAATGGGATAGGAATGGCTACTGGAAGCAGTTATCACCATAAACAACAAATAACGGACATTATAATTATTTTTAAAAGGACGTATAAAACTTGCCACATAGTACATTTTAAAATTAGAAACAAAGAGTCCAGAATACTAAGTAATACATATGGTAAATTACTGAGAGGGCAATATAAAGCTAAATGTACACTGATAGCTCACAAGCTTTCCACAATTCTGGTCACAAACCAAATTGGATGATAGCTCACTGATATAAAGCTAAATGTACACTGATAGCTCACAATTCTGGTCACAAACCAAATTGGATGATAACCAGATTAAATTCAGTGGTTAGTCTTAATGTTGACCTTAGGAGGAAATATGGTTTGATTCTCATCCAATTCAGTTTGCAACCAGAATCATAGAAAGAATTAAGTTCATGAACTGAGGTACTACTATATCAAGAGAACATGAAATTGCAGTGCCTTCACATATAAACACACAGGTACTACAGTTTCCTTTTATCTCATTTAGAACAGGGCCACAATTTGTATGTCTTGCTGCTACCCAGCTCTTATTTAAATTTGGTTTTCTGATGTTATACAGCTAACACAAGTGTACAGGTCACCTGTGGGACAGTCAGGCTGACAGGAACTTGTATAGCCAGTTATAAATGAGTTGACAGGTTGTTGCAGAGGGGAGAAGATAAAATTAGAGGCAAGCCTGTGGATTCAATTGTAGATGGATGTCCGTGGCTGCTCACTTGGGGGCCTGGAAGTCAGTCATCTGTAATGATGTGTTTGAAATAGCCATATAATGTCTTACATATTTTTCTGTATTAGATTTATATATGTTTGTTGTTGTTATTGTTTTTGAGTTTATTGTAGATAGACACAAAGGTGTAAGGAAATTATATAAAAGGTCCCATATATCTTTTATTTAATTTCTCCCAGTGGTAACATGTTGTGTAACTGTAATGCAATATTATAACCAATAATTTACTTTTGATACATTGATACAATTCATCAGACTTAGCTTTCATTAGTTTTTGGTGTACCTGTATATATGTAGTAGGCAATTTTTTTTCTGTTCTTTTTGAGACAAGATCTCATGCTGTGTAGCCCAGGCTAGCTTTAAATGTGTGATCCTTCTGCTTTAGCCTCCTGCTGAGAGCTAGGATTATATGTGATACCATGCCAAGCTAGTTATATGCAGTTTTATCACACATGTAGATTCATGTGACCATGACCACATTCAAGATACTGAGTAGTTTCATCATGAGGTTCCTTTGTGTTATGTTTCTATAGCCACTTTTACTACCCTACCTTTCTTTAACTTTTGACATCCACTAATCTGTTTACTGTCCCCCAAATTTTTTCATTTTGACAGTGTTATATAAGTGGAGTCATACAATATATATCCTTTTGGGTGTTGGCATATTTCACTTAAACATTCAGCCAAGTCCTTGCATATGTTAGCAGTTTCTTTTTGTCTACTACATAGCAAAAAACAAAACAAAACAAAAGAAGCCAAAACCAAAGCAAAACAAAAATAACCTAACAACAAAATTTTGGCTATTCTAGGTCCTCTGCCTTTCCATATAAATTTTAAAATACACTTTTCTATCTACAAATGCCTTCTTGTAATTTGGATAGGGACTGTATGAAATGTAGGTTGATTTGTGGAGAATTGACATCTTTTATTATGTTTAATCTTCCAATTTTTAGTATGCCTCTTTGATTTCTAAATGTTCTCAGTTCTTTCTGAGTTAGATTACCTTTAAAGTTTTATTTTCAATTTTCAAAGCTTCTGTTGTAAAAAATTGTTTATGCAAAGGGTTGTGAATATTTTATGCTCACAGAATGACTGATTTTAGAAGTTTACTCTAAATGTAAGAATACTGGCTTTACAAACTCTATACTTCAAAGTTTGATTGATAGATCCAAACTGCCTTCTTTTGTAACTGACAGTTATATTGGGATCAATGTTTACTATTCAATTATTAAGATACTTTAATCAGTAATTTCACTTCTGCTATCATACACTATTAAGGACAGTGGTAGGGTGTGACAGGTACAACCCAAATGAGGATAATTATTCTCTACTCTTGAGCTTTCATACTTTTAAAGCTTTGGCTTTTAGGAAGCCACATTATGTATAATTTTAATCTTCATAATCTCAGTAATCCAGAATTTGAGATATGTACTATTTCCCTTATTTCACTGTGGAATTTAGCTCTTTTTGTGTTTTATTCAGTTTTTTAAATACACCTAACTAGGCTATACTGTCACTGATTGGTTAAGGGAGGAAGATAAGAGCTTGATAGTGGTGTTCAATTTTCCAAATTAATGAAAACCCGAGGAGTATCCTGGATGTATCTTGAAATTGCTACAGTGTCCCGGCAGCACCCTACATCTTGTGCGGTCCAGGCCAAGAAGGCACTTCACTGTGGGTATTATCTGCCTTGTTGTAGTTAGGGTTTGTGAGGAGAACAATTAAAATCAGAACATGGAATTTATAATATTATTTTATGATGGCCCCCCAGAGTTAACACAATAAAGTGCATGAAATCTATCCACAACACCAAAGACATAGAATATTCAATCAAGGGCCTGAACCCCACAGCAATGTCCTGCATGAGTTCAGACGAAGAGCCAGAACTTATGACAGTGCTTCCCACAAGTCCAGCTGAAGGGACTCATGCCAGTCTCTTTCATGGATCTGTGCTGGGAAAGACCAAAGGTCAGTGATGGAAGCTAGAAAGTCTATGCCAGCAGGATGAAAGAGCTGTGCTGATAGGTTGAGCATTCTACACTGAAGCCAAGAAGTCACACTCAAAGACTAGGGCTATCCTGAAAAGCACAGCCATCCTCAGCGACACAAAGGCCCCAACCTCCCCCGACATAAGCACAGCTGACTATGTGCCAGGAAGCCAGCATGATGAGTTCATCTTGAAGATTAAACAGCTCACATCTTCCTCTCTGGAGCCAGGAAACAGTGCTCAATGTGAGGATCAGAGCTTCTCCAGGAGAACCAACAGCTCAAACAGCAACCCGTAGAAGAACCCACAATGCCTCCATGCCTCCACGCCTTTTTTCCTTCTCCACGTGTCTATTTATGCTGGCAACTTTCCTCAGGGGGAACATCTATGCCCAGCACCATGGTGATTTACTTCAGCTGGCATTAAATTGACCACCAGTTTTCAATATATAACATGCCTGTTATTTCAGATTAACTTGATTAGGGAATCACTGAGCCCTGCTCACCTTTCCTAGCCTCGCCTCTCCTCTTTGAGCCCCCTTGGGCCCCCAGGGGGGCTGTGGGGTCACAGCCAGAGCCGGTGGCTGGTTGGCTTCTCAGGCACAAAAGGCTGAGACTGTTGAGATCCCCAGAGATGCTGCTCAAACTCGAATCACATAGGAGATTCGACGCTGCTCAAATTGTAGTCACTGGTGAACAAACTGGTGAACCCTTGGACTATCACTGGTGGAGTTGCCACTGTGGTATGTCAGCCAAATGAATTCATAATTGCTGATGGTGGGGTTGTAAGGGATGTCCTTGTGCTAACCAAACCCTTAGGGACTCAGGTTGTGGTCAGTGCCCACCAGTGGTTGGATAATCCTGAGAGGTGGGATAAAATAAACATGGGGGCTGGGGATTTAGCTCAGCGGCATAAGCACCTGCCTTGGAAGCAGGTGGTCGTGAGTTCGATCCCTGGTAATGATAAAAAGTTAAAAAACTATATATCATGGCATAAAATAAACATGGTAGTCTCCAGAGAAGAAGTGGAGCTGGCTGTGTTTAACGTGGCTACCCTAAATTGAACTGCTTGCTGGGTTGATGCACATATTCAGTGCCCATGTGGCTGCAGATAGCATGGCCTTGGACATTTTAGGACATTTTCAAAAGCTCGCAGACAACAAAGAAATGAGGTGTCATTTGTCATTGCCAAGGTGGCTGCCCATCAGCAAGACCAGGGCAGTTTGGTTTCCTTCAAGGAACCTCACTAGCCAAAACCTCTGGGGGATTGCTGGTCTGTCTGCCAAATATGGTGTCACTAAGTATAGATTGTCTGCATTGTGAAAGAGGGAAACCAGATGGTCCAAATCATTGACAAGCCTCAAGTTAAAGAGGTTCTACTTCCTGAGGCCACCACTCTTGTTCTGGCTTCTGATAGTTCCAGTGCCTTTTCTAAGCCTACCTCATGAATTGGAATAGAAGTTGGAATTAGAACCTTTGTACCCAATCATGAATGATGCCAAAGAGTTGATTTTAAGAAATTTTCAAAGAAGACTGCCTGCATAGTAATTACAAGTACCCTCTTGAGAGAATTTAAAGGAACTCATCTGAAGCTGCCTGTATGTACATTCCAAGATCAAAAGTAACATTTTGAATTGGGGGGAGGGGCATGTGTTTATCTCTTGGGTGAATGAGGAGCAGGAACATCCATTTGCAAAGCATCTTTGCATTTTTTTAAAGCAAGATGAGGCTATTACAGTTTGAGGGGATTTTCATTGCACTTGATTGATTGACTTCTGCACAGGGAGCGAAATTATTGTATTTACCTACACAAGTAAAATTTTAAAAAGCAAGCAAATTTGGATCAATATTGTTGATAAACTTGAATGGGTTCTTTGTGTGTGTGTGTGTTTTGTTTTTGAGACAGGGTCTCACTATGTAGTTCAGGCTGGTTTCAAACTTGCAAACGATTCTCCTGCCTTCCAAGTGCTGGGATCACAGGACTGTGCCACCACACCTGGCTAAATTTGAATTGTTAAGAGAGTTCTCACAGTGTAGTGCCAAAATCGCTTGTTAGATTTTTCTGAGGAACTGGCTTTTTTCTGCACTGAACAAAAATTGAGCAACTTGTCCAATGACTGGGAAAGAAGGACCGGCAGCCTTCTGACTTGGTCTCTGTTTCTGTCTCTCCTTCTAAACCCCCTTAAGAATGAAGAGAGCCAGAACATGCCCAGAGCTCATGCCTTGGTGATCATTAAGATGTTAAATCTTGTGCTGAAAAAATCCTGCTCATTTAATTCATCAAATTAAAAGAGTGCTTTCTAGTTAAATAAAAGGAACTTTGTTGAAAACCTAAAAATAATAGAAAAAATAGAGGTGCTATCTGCTTTAGAAAGTGGCAAGAACAATGAGATAACTGTGTTGGAAATGAGGGGGAGTGATCTGACAAAGAGTAATGGTAGTGTGTCTTTTACTTTAATAATTTTAAAAATTTAAAGACCATCTTTTTCAGTAACACCTCATACATTGTGTAATGTTTAAATCAGGTTAACTATGTTAATCTCAAATATTTCTTTGTGGTGAAACTTTTCAGAAGCATTTCTTCTAGCTTTTGGAAAGGAATATTGTATTACTGTAGTTACCCTAGTATATGAATAGTACCTCTCCAGATTTATTGAAGAGTTGTCAAATCAGTGTCCTTTGAATACATTTTTATATTAATACTTCTCCATATTACTGATTTGATACTGAATACTTACATCAAACTGGAGCATATCCACAACCTAACCTTTCAAGCTGAAATAGTTTTTTGGTATATATTGTAGTGTTTTTCAGACTTTTGTCTTACGACCTATTTATGTCCTTAAAAGTTATTGCGGACCCCCTATATTTGATGTTTACATCAAAAATAAAATTTAAGAAATTGAGAGCATTTTAATATTTTTTTAATTTTAAAAAGCAAAACAAAGGATAGAAATTATGCAGAATTTCAAGAAATACAAGGAAATTAATACTAGTTAATATATTGCATATTGTTATTTTATGAGTAGTTATTCAGGTAACAAGATCTAGGCATAAAAAATGACCAAACAATCAAATGATGACAGTGCAAACTGTTCTTTTTGGTGAACTAACAGAGATAGTAGTATAGTTATCTATCTTGCATACATATATATATACATACATTTGTATATGTATGCCTACTTACATATAAAAACAACTGGGCCAGGGATTTAGTTCAGCGGCATAAACACTCACCTGGCAAGCACAAGGTCGTGAGTTTGATTCCCAGCACCAAAAAAAAAAAAAAAAAAAAAAAAAAAAAACTGTGATAGGGGAAAGGAGAAAAGGAAAAAAGGAAAACATTTTAATATATTTAATTCCTTAAAATAGTATAGAATCTATTAATACAGATAACTACATATTATAAAGTATTTTAATAAAAATGCGTGTATTTCTCAATCAAAAATAAATGAGGACAAGAGTGGCATGCTCCCTCACTCTGTCTTGCTACACATACACACACATTTCCTGAACATGATTTAATAGAAAAGGCAGGCTTCTCATCTGCATCTGTATCCAATGTGTTGCAATATGTTATGCTGGGCACAAATGTCTACAGTGTAGTTAGAAAATAAAGAAATGTTTTCAGATACCTACTTTCAGATAGGTATTTTTTGATACTATGTACACTAGATTTTAATAAGTGATATTTCTTCACAGATAGTTACAAAGTAGAACTTAAAACCATACTGCTAAGCATTTTGCATTTAGTTACATTAAAAACTATTGGTCTGTTATCTTTGAGTGTTTCACCTGTGCATGATTTTGTAGCATGCATTGATCATTTGGGAGATACTGGTTTTTGGGTTACAGCAATGTCCTATCTTACTGTTTTTCACTCCATGATTCCATATCTCATGTAACTTCTACCACACACATATCATAAAAGCATCCTGTAAATGCATGACACAATGAGTGAAAATAGCAAAAAGTATCTTAATATTCTAAATTCTAAAACAGGGTTAGCCTTGGGAAATCCTAAAAAATCAGACACTTTCAGAATCAGAGACACTGATTCCCATACCATCTTTGAGATTTACTAATTTAACGTAAGCAGCTCTTTGTTAGCGATGTCAGTGATGATTTCCCAATATGTAGTTTATTTTAGTGACTATCCAACTGCGCCATTTTTTTTTTTTTAACTAGACCTGTACTGGCTCCAAATAGGGGCTCAAAGTAAAGGTATCAATTCTCTCTTAACCCTTAAGAAGAAAGACTTTGGTGGTGTCCCTCTTCTGGTCAAGGATGCAAGAATTAATCATAACTATTACCAACAGAATGATCATAGATTAAATATTATGAATTGTAATTAAGAATCTATAACCATTAAGTAGAAATTATGAAAAGGTCAGGAAGTATATATAATTGCATGTACACAATTATTAAAAGAACTTCAATAAACTATAGAGTATAGATTTAATACATGAAAAATCCAACTTTTTTTAACATCAGGTTGGCACAGAATGACTTGCCTTGTTAAAAAAAAAATACATAATGTCACTACTAAGACACCTCACCTTCTTTTTTAGAAATTTGTAAGGATTTTGGGAATTGTTTTGCATATCATAGAGTTCAGTATAGTAAAGCATTTGCAGGAATTTAGAATAGACTTCCTTTTGGTGATATTCCTATAAGAAACTGGCATTCAAATTCCCTTCACTCCCAAGTGTACACATGTGTATAAGCATATATGTCATTTCTTATTGACAGAACAGTATTGTTCCTTACCACAAACCATTTTTAAAAATAAGGGTTGATTCAGCATTATCTTCATTTTACTCATTGGGCCTGGTAGGTCTATTTCTCTTCATCTTTCCCTGCCATGTCTTACTGCAGTGCCTGGGTAGCTACTCTGAAAGGTGTTACGCTCTTTCATCTGTCAGAAACTCAAATTCAGAAGCCCTGCTTTTGCCTCACCTGCCTATGCTGTGTTGTTTCTAACAAGAGAGCTAATTAGGACAGAATAATGGAGGTTAAACCAGCAGGTCAGCTCTGTTCTCATCCTGCTGTGACTTTGTAAAACCCTCTTAACCTCCAGGTTTCAGTTGCTTCATCTGAGGAATGAAATGGAATGGTTTCTGAGGTGCTTTTCAGTTCTAAAGTATGAGAAGTCTAAAGCCATTCTTTTAAACCTTTCATATGCCAGAAGTGTTTTTAGCATGGCAAGCCTTTATTCTCGCCCCCCACCAAAATTAAGTCCCCATTACATATATTTTTGAATGTTAGAGAGATGAAAATATCATAGGGTTTAAAGAATGCATTGCTTATAAAACACTGTCACGCACTGACATACTCCTAATCTTTAATAATAATCCAATGAATTGATTATACATTATTATAAATATATTTTTCCAGCTTCTTAGAAATTAATTTTGTGGGTATATTTTAGGCATACATAATGATGATCATATTTAACATAGGTAATTTGTACCACCTGTACATGATATATCTTTTTTTTTTTTTTGTCTTTTTTTTATCGGTACCAGGGATCAAACTCACAACCGCACACTTTCAAGGCAGGCGCTTATGCCACTAAGCTAAATCCCCAGCCCCTACATGATATAGCTTGATTTTCCTTTTTCCCCCAGTTCCTTCTCTCTTCAACTTTGCTTCCTCTCCTTATTTACAAAAGCTTTATTTCCATTTTTAGCTTTTATTCTTTTTTCTTACCCCTTCATCTACACCTCACCCTCTCCCCCTCAATTCTTCTTCCTATTTTAATATTTTCTGCCCATTTCCCAATATCTGTTATACATTTTGGTCCTTTCAGTTTCCCTGTCAGTTTCTCATACTAGAGAAATTGATATTTAAACATGTGTCCAATTTATTTCACTTAAAAATACAGTCTCAAGGTGCATTCATTTAATTGCATTCATTCAATGTCCTCTCTTATTTATTGTAGATTACTACTCCATCATATGAAAAAAACGCATCTTCTTTCTTTATTGGTTGATGGGCTTTGGGCTGTTTCTAAGATTTAGTTATTACACATTGTGCTGCTATAAACATGGGTATGCATATGTCACTGTGATATGATGGTTTTAATTTTTTCAGGAAGATACCAAGAAGGGACATAGCTGGATCAAAAGGAACCTCTACTGTTAGTTTTTGAGAAACCTCTACACTGATTTCCACAGTGATTGCACCAGTCTACCCTCCAGCAGTATGGAAGGGTTCCCTTTTCTCCACAACTCTGCCAACGTTGGTTATTGGTTGATTTTTTGATAATAGCCATTCTCTCAGGAGTGAGATGGAGTCTGTGTTGTTTTAATTTGTGTCTCTTGAATTAAGAAAAACATTGAGCACACTGGAGTCACCAGTAGTCACCGTGCCTTTGCAGGTGTGAGACACCCCTCCCACACCATGAACCAGAGCTCGGAAGAAAAAGCACTGCTTGGTATCTCTGTCTTCTGCATTGAGGTGCTTCTCTTTGCTCCTCTTGTGGGCTCCAATTCTTACTTCATAGCCTTGCTGGATCCTAGAGACCCACTGTCCTCCTCCTTCTCTTCCCATTATGGCTAAATTGCACCATATAGATTCCAAATCTTGATGAGGCTGTTTCTCTGCTGCTCACCACTCTGCCATCTTCCTACAAGTCCTCTAAATATATTTTATAAGATTTTTTTTTCAATTTCTGGAGAGGAGATTTACAATGAAACTGAAAGTTCTGGTTGAGGAGTAAAGTTTAAAATGTTTTCAAAAATTACAACATTCACTGTAGAAGGCTTCCACATCTTTGGTTAGGTTAATTCCTAAGTATTTCATTTTTATGAATGCTAATGTGAAAGTGTTGTTTCCTTAATTTCTTGCAGTGAGTTTGATATTGGTGTATAGGAACACCATTGATTTTTGAGTGTTGACTTTTTATTCTGCTATGCTGCCAAGTTAGATTATTCTAGGAGTCTTTGGGAGGGGGTCTTCTGTGAAGAGAATCATATATTCAGCAAGTAATGATAATTTAAGTTCTTCCTTTCCTATCTGTTCTTTTTTGTGTTTTTCTGTTGTATAATTGTTTTGGGTGTTGTTTCCAGCACTGTATTGAACAGAAGAGGTGATAGTGGATATCTTTGTCTTGATCCTGATTTTAGAGTTAAAAGCTTTCAGGTTTTCTTCATTTAGTATGATGTTGGCTGTTGGTTTTTTATAGATGGCTTTTATCAAATTGAGACAAAGACCTTCTATTCCAATTTTATTTGATTTTTATCATGAATGGATGTTGGACTCTGTCTGCATCTATTGAGATGATTGTGTGGTGTTTATTCTTAATTCTGTTAATATGGTATAGTTACATTTATTGGTTTGCATGTGTTGAACCACCTCTGCATCTCTGGGATGAATCCTACTTGATCATGGTGCATAATCTTTTTGATGATTTGCTGCATTTATCAGTATCTTACTGAGGATTTCTACATTTGTGTTTATTGAAGAGATTGGCCTGTCGTTCTCTTTATTTGATTGAGTTCTTTTTGATATCAATATCAGGGTAATGTTTGTTTGAGGAATGACTTTGGGAGTACTGTTTCCCTTTCATTTTCTTTAACGAGTTTAGATCTTCTCTAAAGTTCTTACAGAATTCAGCCGTGAATCCCTTAGGACTTGGGCTTTTCTTAGTTGGTAGTTTTTTAAATTACCTTCTCAATTTCATTGATTGATATTGGATTATTTAGAATTTTTATATTTTCTTCATTCAGCTTTGTTAATTCATATGTGTCTAGAAATCTGTCCACTTCTTTTGAATTTTCCATTTTATTAAAATATAGGTTCACAAAATAGGTACTGAAGATCTTCTGAATTTCTAAGGATATATTGTAATTTTGCTTTCTTTATTCTTAATTACACGAATTTGGGTCTTGTTTTGATGAGGTTGGTTGTCTTATTTACTCTTATCTCATTGCTGAGACAGACTAGACTCAAAGGAGGAAAGGTTTATTATAGCTTATGGTTTACAGAGGTTTCAGTTTATAGTTGACTGGTTTCAAGGTAGGATGGTATGGCGGAGGGGCATCATAGAGGAGAAACGCTTGTGGTGAACAGAAGTTAGCAAAGCAAAAATGTAGTGACAAGCAACAGCAAATGATTATAGCAGCCTTTCTGTCCCTAATATTCTGCCCTAGGCTACACACTCTTAGTATAAGCAGCACTCACACCCAGAGTGGGCCTTCCCATTATTCACACCCAGAACTATGCCAAACGAATCAGTGGACTAATTTAGAAATCGCACACCCATAGTCCTAGCATAAACACTCTAGATCGAGCCCCCTGTG